CATGTTTTGAAAATTGCTTGTGCTTTGTGTGTTTTGAAAATTTGTTTTGAAAATTTCTTGTGCTTTGTGTGTTTTGAAAATTTATTTTGAAAATGCCTTAGTGTGGCGATTCGCTTTATGATAACTCTTGTATCAGTCCTCAAGAGTGTTGACAAAACGAATGTTTTTTAAAGTGTTTTTGAAATGTATAAGTGTAAAAAGTTTGTTTTATTTGAGCAAGCATTTAACATCTATCTACTCGGACTCAAAAAGGTTTGTTCTTTTCCTCTTATCCTTTAGACAGTGATATCCTATTATTAGTGAGTAGGTAGCCCTAGTCATTTAAAGGGACGTTACGGTCACGAAGGCAACTTGGTAAGAAATTTTAGTAACTGTCCTAAAGTTCTAAGATCACTTTTAACTGAGACAACATCGAGAGGGTCATCGAGGGACTTGTGATCTTTTCAAACTAGAGGACATCCACTAAAACTTCTTACGTTTCAAGAATTGTGACCGTTTTCCGAAGGCAACCGAAGTGGGCGTACCCTAGAGGTGTATATGTTCAATTGTGTTATGTTTCAGTTATTTTTGTCTTTTTTGTTAGGTTTGCTTTGAGTCTTGTCATGCAATCCTAGTTACTAGCAATTAATATATATACATGAATTTAAAGTGCGGAAAGGTAAATCCTACACTATTATAGGACTTTGGAGATTAATTACATGTCCAAGAATAAGGGGAATAAAATAGAAAATAAAGTCCTAATTATTCTATTACAACCCATGAGCAGTTACAATAATATGAAAAATGTGAGAATAAATAAATGAGCGCGAATTGAGAATAACGTCTAAAAATCCTAAGGTAAGAGGAAATCTTTTTGTTTTGTTTTTATTTATAAAAGAAAATAAAACTTAAGTCTATTTAATTTTAATTTCAAGAAAAGGTTAAAATAATTAATTAATTTGTTTACAAAATTAATTTAATTAATAAAACACTAACCTAATGTTTTTTTGTGATTTTTTGATTTAAAGTCGATTCAAATGATAAAGTCAATAAAGAAATAACGAAAACAAAAATAAAAATACAAAGGGCATCCTTCGATCCAGGGAGAAAAAAGGAAGCTTTGATCCAGAGAATGCGTCTTTTGATCCAGGGGAAAAATGGGAAGCTTCGATGCAGAGAAGGAAATGTCTCCTTCGATCCAGAGAAAAAGTTGTCTTCTTTGATCCAGGAGGGCAATCTGCTTTTCGATTCATATCTGCAAGACAAGCATTATAACAATAAAGATGCAGGACCTGGGTGTCGAACCCAAGTCCTTCGATCCTGTGCACGCTGGTCTGCTCAAGCTTGGTCTGCAGTACAAGCGTTAGGAAAAGAAAATACAAACATGGGTGTCGAACCCAGGTTTTTCTCCTGCACGTACACCTGCAAGTTTGACCAAATGCTGGATTGAAACAAATCCAAAGACTCTACCCTACGCATGATCATTTCCTAAACCCAAATCTGGGGTTAAAACTAGAACAAGGTCTTTGTACAACCTAGTTTGAAGCATGGCTGCTTCAAAGCCTTAAAATGGCACTCTGTACTTCCACACTTATATTTGTATGAATGATCAATGAGAACACAAACATGCATATAAAAACAATTCAAATAGTAATCGAAAGGCTGTGACCCAGAATTTTACCAAGGACTGGTGGGCTTGATGCGTGGCTTTTGGCTAGTGCTTGGGAATACTTCCTGCAGACTTTAGGGAATGAATAGAGCGTTGCTGAAGACTCCTTAGATTGGGACCACTTATGAGGATTTTCTAGCTTTGGGGTGGTTTATGGGATAGCGTGTCTCTAATACGTGTGTATATGTGGTCTCCTCTCCCTTTCATCTTCCTCTTTAAGCTTGCTAGTGTGCTCCTTATATAAAGGGGATGGAAGGGACAAGAGGACAAAGGAATAAACAACCATTAAGTTGGTGTTTTAAAGGCCATGAATGTCACTTTGAAACTTTGCCAAAGACATGGTTTCTTGTCTATTTTTGAATTTTCTATGAACCTGGACACATTTGGCTCTTTCCAATGCCCTCATTCGAATGACTCTGATTGCCTCCTTCGAATGGCCTAGAGTCTTGATTCGAAGTGTTCAGAAACCTCCTTATTAGAGCTTCTTCGATTGAGTCTATCTACTTGCTCTAGCTGCTTAATTCAAACAACTCAAACGAAAATTTCATTATGGCCAATCGAAAACCTCCTTTGTCAACGCCTTCGAATGCCATTGCACAAGAGGCCTGGGCCTGGCCACATGTAGGATCAAGACCCATCATAAGACAAGCTTGTATTCAGTAACCATGTATCCTTCGAATTGACCAATGAATGCTCCTTCGTAGGGAACTCATGAGTGCGCCTTCGAAGGGACTAACATGCGTGTTGAAGTATAAAAAACTGCTTCAAAGGGGACCATTGGCCAGTCGAAGTTTGCACAAAGGCAGCCAATTCCTTGTAGGCACTGGCATGAGGCAAGTCAAAACAAGCGTAAAACAGGCCATTGCCTAGTGAATCGAATCAGACATGGAGGAGGTATTTGCCTTATGGGTCAAAGGAAGCTTTTTGCCTAGTAGAATGAAGGTAAATCTAAAGAAGTCTTGGCCTTGTGTGCTGAACGCAAGCTGAAAATAAGCCTTTGCCTTGTGAATCGAAGCATGTCTGAGGCAACCCTTTGTCTTGTGAATCGAAGACCAGTAAAAGGGGCCTTTTTCCTTGTAGATCGAAGGAAAACTTATGGGTCTTTTCCTTGTGAAACCAAGGCAAGCATGAGGAAGCTTTTGCCTAGTAGACCAAAGACAAGCATGAAGAGGCATATGTGTGCAGATGACAAACTGAAGGGGCCTTTTTCCCAGTGGAAGCTTTGTGAACTAAGCTTGATCGAAGGAGATTCAACGCCCAATCGAAACTTGTGGGCCAATGCTTGGTCGAAGGGTTTTAGGAGCCCAGTCGAAGCTTGTTGTTATGCCAATTGAAAGACACTGTTTAAATACCAATCAAAGGACATTGTTGAACTGCCAATTGAAAGAAACTTTACTAACATTCAAAAAATTCATTTTCTTTAGGGGAGTGTTTGTAACCACCCATATAAGAGAAAAAACCTTGGGAAACATGAGAGGGAAAATTTTGGGGTGCAACACATTACACGCCATGCTCATAGTTATACCTGTTGAGTAAGTACTCCTAATCTCCGAAACCATATCACGAAGCATGATTCCATCATATGAAGCCATCCTAGCCGCCACAGTCTTAGCAATTCACTTGGAGTTAGCAGTAGTGTTATTCAAAATCCTACCACACGTGTGAGCACCAAACCATTTCTTCATTTTATACATGTGCTTATTCCCCAATTTACTAACAAGAGCCATAAACCCACAATTGTCCTTGCAAACTACTCTCACTCTAACCTTATCATTTTTCATATACTTTGTCTCTCTTCCATTTAATATTGACCATTCAGTAATTGCCTCCTTAAATTCATGCAGAGAAACAAACTCCAAACCCACTTTGAACTTGTAGTTCTTGTCCAACTCCTCCATCTTAAACCTAAGATACTTTGGTCTTTTCTCTTCATCTGATGCATCGGTTTCACTACTCCCAAGATCATCACTTACATAATTAGTTTCAAGGCCTTCATTACCAACACTAACCCCACTTGATGAACCTCCATTGTCATCAACATTTCTTATCTTTGTTGGAGTAGTCATGTGTCTCTTAGATATCTGCTTAACCCTTCCAGTTAGTTTGTCTACAACATCAACTCCATCATCTAAGCCAAGGGACCTTTGATCCTCACTGTCCTCAAATGATAAACTATTACCATCAAAATCACTATCATTATTACCATCTTGTTCAACATCATCAAGGTCATCATCCATATTTACAGGATCACCCTCAAGATTTACATTATTAGTAACATCCTTAACATTGGCAGATTCATCAACATTTAGATTTCCAGCATCACCATCAACATTAACATTAACTGCATCACCATCAATAACATTAACAACTTCAATATCATCAACATTATCAGCATGAACATTAACAATATCAGTATCATCAACAAAATTATCAGCTACAACTACTCTATGCTAAACAAATAAGTCCACGCTACTACTTGTTTCAACATCTATTTCATAAACCTCAGTAGCATCAATATCACTAACCATTCTTTTATGCTTACCAGGAATAATGTTATACCACCATAGCAATAAACAGAGGACTTAAGATTGCAAATTTCTTTCATAATACCAGTTTCGTCAGAGAAACTCCATCTATCAGGGGTCAATGTCTACTGCATGTTCATCCCCACCTAAGTAGTATACGACACTGTCCCTAACAAACTTTCCCCCGTAATGAATGTTCACAGTAAATGTCATACCTGGAAGCTTCAATTAGATTGCTCAATCACGATTTTAGCTTCGTCACCCACGGTCGCCTCACCCAGACAAGCCATCGTATCAATCCCCTTCACCTTTCCTGAGCTCTGACCCTGAAGTGCTTTCTATTTCTGAAACCCTAATTTATAAGGACTAAAGCAAAAAAGGAGAAATGAGTTTTGATGATATATTTTTGGGGGAGAATAATATATCCACGTGTGTTAATGAAAAGAATATAAAAAAATGCTAAAACATAAGCAAAGTCATCACTGTTTCCCACCTCAATTTTTTTTTAAATAGACCACTAACAGAAGGGACTAATGCCAAAGAGAAATGGACTTATGGAGACCTGCACAATAAAAAAAATCCAGGGACTAAAATCAAAATCTCTCTAACTTACAAGGACAAAAACATTATTTAAGCATATATATATATATATATATATATATATATATATATATATATATATATATATATATATATATATATATATATATATATATATATATATATATATATATATATATATATATATATATATATATATACACTTCTTAAATTAATGTTGTTGTTTTTAGCTTATCATAGTTTAACTTTTGTTCTAATTGTAGGATATGAGCATCCAAAAACCATACTCAAAAAAAGATATTGATGACATCCGATCACGTTGGGTCAGTGTCTTCTTTTCTCATTATGAAGCTCGGTAACCACAATAATAGTTTTTCTTGGTTGCTATAATCTTATTTTGTATATGAACAAAAGTTTTGTCATTTTGATGTGCAGATATGATCATGTCAAACGAGTGTATTCTGTCTTGATGATACCAATGTAAATTTGCACATTTGGTTTAAAATGATATGATATATTCCAATTCTGTTACATATTTTGTAGTTTTTATGCAAAAAATGATACTGGCAGGTTAATTGATTTATTATAATGATACGATACAGGCCGGTGAAAATGGTACATGCAAAAAATGATACAGGCCAGTGAAATTGATAAATATAGCCAAAAAACTTCATTTTAAACCCCTATCAATTATTACATAAAACCGAGATAAATGAATATCTTATTACCTCAGATTATAAATAAAATTGACAGCTATATGACGCGCGCAACAAAATGTAGAAAATAAAAATATGGAGTTCCAAGGGATCGAACCCATGACCTTTTCAATTATAACCTCGGTGTTTAAAATAGAGAGGTGTTAAGTTGAGACTTTTCATGACGATCTTATTTAGCTCACCTGGATAGTCGATGCAAAATGCATTTTGCATCCGACGTTACAAGCGTTATTTGTAATAGTGAAATATGTTTTAAGTGTATATTGACAGTTTGAAAATTTTTAAGGACATATATTTTTCGGTCACACCTGTTAAACACTGACCTCATAACACTCAGAGATCCTACTTCTAATCCCAACACATCCTCTCCAAAGTACAATCCAAATGAAAAATGTGCCTATCATTCGAACAGTTCCGGGCACGACACCAACAATGGTTAGACCCTGAAAAACAAAATCCAAGACATGATTGATAACAAGGAAATTGAGTTTGACCCTCCTGAGACTTCAAACGTGATTACTGCTCCTATACCGAAGCATGACAAAGGCATAAGTGCTATTGAAGATGTTTTGTATGTTACCTTCGTAAATGATATGGTTACTCCTCTCTCAACAGTCAAGAAGAATTTGCTACAAGTCGACTTATTTCTGGGCTGTGTTAAAGAATGTTATTGCTGTGCGGTTCAACCCAATTGATGCGGGTTACTGAAGGAAGGAATTCAACTCCTGATGGATGAACATGTTATTCTTATTGAAAAAGTCCAGTCTACTAAAAATTTGTGCCGAGATTTGTCTGTCATATCTGGTACTCCTTTCAAGATCACCTCCAAGGGTCCTGTAAGGATTACTTCCAATCCAAAATCTGCTCCCTTAATCATTACAAAACTTGGGCCCATCCCATATTCCTCAGAGAAGGCTATTCCATGGAACTATGGGTCTGACGTCTATTACCATGGTGTTAAACAAGAGTTGTCTAACAAAGATGATGAAGATGTTGATCCCAGTATTGTCAATATTGCAAGGACCAGTAAAATAACAAGAAGCGGAAAGATTATCTCCCTATAAATCTCTCCACATGTTCAAGTCACAATTACTAAGACGACAGCCGAAGCTCGAGGTAAAGAGCCAATGGTAGAGCCTGCCCGAATGGAGGCACCAAAAGAAGCTACAATCAAGGATACCTCTAAATAAGAAATGGAAGAGGTTTTGAAGATCATTCGTAGAAGCGATTACAAAAATTTTGAGCAGCTGGGAAAAACCCCATCCAAGATCTCTATGTTATCCCTGCTACTGTATTCCAAAGTTCAGACACAAGCTTTAATGAAATTTTTGAAGACTGCTCATGTACCATAGGAGATTTCTGCCGATCAATTTGGAAATTATGTTGCTAGCCTAACGACTTGACAACAAATTAGGTTTCTCTAATTGGAAGTTATCATAGTTTAAATTTTGTTCTAATTGTAGGAGATGAGCATCCAAAAACCATACTCAAAAGAAGATATTGATGACATCCGATCACGTTGGACCAGTGTCTTCTTACCTCATTATGAAGCTCGACAACCACAACAATAGTTTTTCTTGGTTGCTATAATCTTATTTTGTATATGAATAGAGATTTTTTCATTTTGATGTGCAGATATGATCATGTCAAATGAGTGTATTCTCTCTTTATGATAACAATGTAAATTTTCACATTTGGTTTAAAATGATATGATATATTCCAATTTTGTTACATATTTTGTAGTTTTTGTGTAAAAAATGATATTGGCGGGTTAATAGATTTATTATAATGATACGATACAGACCGGTGAAAATGATACAGGCCAGTGAAATTGATAAATATAGCCAAAAAGCTTCATTTTAAACCCCTATCAATTATTACATAAAATCGAGATAAATGAATACCTTATTACCTCGGATTATAAATAAAATTGACAGCTATATGGCGCGCGTAACAAAATGTAGAAAATAAAAATATGGAGTTCCAAGGGATCGAACCCATGACCTTTTCAATTATAACCTCGGTGTTTAAAATAACGAGGTGTTAAGTTGAGACTTTTCATGAGGATCTTATTTAGCTCGCCTGGATAGTCGATGTAAAACGCATTTTGCATCCGACGTTACAAGCGTTATTTGTAGTAGTGAAATATGTTTTAAGTGTATAATGACAGTTTGAAAATTTTTAAGGACATATATTTTTCGGTCACACATCTGACTGGTACTTTTCATAAGAATATTTATGAGATTCAACTTGGTGTTTTCTCAAGGTGTACCGACAAATTCTCTAAGTTATAGTGTCAAAACTATTTTATTGTCAGAACAAGAATATACATATTTACACCGAATAATCTATCTTAAGAGGATTTGAAGAATAAGATGACGAGATTAGTAACATAAACCTAAATGATTATTAAATAAAAACAAAATCAATAATATAAATTATTAAATAATTAGTTTATAAATAAATGATTTATAGATTAATTATAAAATTGGAAAAATATAAAAATTCCGCGTGAGTAGCAAATTGATAGAGCTCTCACTTGCTCTTCTTTTGTTCCCACCGCCAACAAACCCATTTTCCTATAGTTTCTCAAAATCAAAAGCATTCCTTTTTGTGGTGAAAGTTTCATCTAAAGAAGAAGCTTCAAGGAATCAAGTTTACGCTCTTGTTTTTATTCTTCTTCATCATCATCTTCAACTTACTTATTTGAATTGAAGACTTAGGGTTTGTTTGTTTGGATTGTGTTATTTAAGCTTATCTATTTGAATTTGAGATATGACTGAAACAAATTGTTCAACATCTGCAGTGCTGTGCTGTTTTTGGGACCGAAATTCGGCCAACTACGGAATGTGGAAGAACAATGTACATAATTCGCCAAAGAATAGACCTGTTGTTACTCATGAGAATGCAGAAAAAACATGGTTAGTTTATTTTGTCTAGTGTAGTCAGTAACAAACTCAGGGAAATTGAACCAAGAGTTTTCCTTATTACGGTTTTTAACACTTTTCCTTCAACAACATATTTTCAATGATTAGTGTTATAACATGTCAAAAGTTGTGGGGGAGTGCCTAGTACAAAGTAAGCCATTTAAAAAACCTTTACAACCACATCTTTTCAATCATCAGTTTTATAACATGTTCAAGCCTAATAGCCTATATACTATACAAATTTATATCCATTAAGTCCCACATTGGCTAGAACATCACACAAACATGTGTTTATAAATGTTTGACATGCTAGTTAGTTTGCCGAGCTGAGTAGCGCCAGCTTGTGACCCATGTGGGGGCATCAAGGTGTTGGAACATGGCTAAGGCTTAACAGGTTGGTCTGGTTGTTGCACCATGCTGGCCTGCCCGCTCCAAGTTGCGAGGCACGGGTCTTGTGAGTCTTAGACAGGAAGGTATTGCGTGAGGCTGGTTTCACTGGGCATCCCCAGAATTCGACCCGTTATTGAAAAGATTCCATGAATCATTTATCAATTCCATCAAATCAATTTTTGGAATATTTATTAAGAAATAACCCCTTTGCATCGACACATGCTGGCCTGCCCGCTCCAAGTTGCGAGTTGACCCACGGGACTTATCCGAAGGCACGGGTCTTGTGAGTCTTAGACAGGAAGGTATTGCGTGAGGCTGGTTTCACTGGGCATCCCCAGAATTCGACCCGTTATTGAAAAGATTCCATGAATCATTTATCAATTCCATCAAATCAATTTTTGGAATATTTATTAAGAAATAACCCCTTTGCATCGACACATGCTGGCCTGCCCGCTCCAAGTTGCGAGTTGACCCACGGGACTTATCCGAAGGCACGGGTCTTGTGAGTCTTAGACAGGAAGGTATTGCGTGAGGCTGGTTTCACTGGGCATCCCCAGAATTCGACCCGTTATTGAAAAGATTCCATGAATCATTTATCAATTCCATCAAATCAATTTTTGGAATATTTATTAAGAAATAACCCCTTTGCATCGACACATGCTGGCCTGCCCGCTCCAAGTTGCGAGTTGACCCACGGGATTTATCCGAAGGCACGGGTCTTGTGAGTCTTAGACAGGAAGGTATTGCGTGAGGCTGGTTTCACTGGGCATCCCCAGAATTCGACCCGTTATTGAAAAGATTCCATGAATCATTTATCAATTCCATCAAATCAATTTTTGGAATATTTATTAAGAAATAACCCCTTTGCATCGACACAAGAAAAAAACCGGTTTAACTCTAAGGAATTGATTGAGCAATATGATTCCATCACATTTGATTTCGCCGTGTATATTTTGTAGTTAATTATAGGTCTCAATTTTTTTGTTGCCACCTTTGCAGTATCTTGTTTTATGTACTAGTATGATACATAAGAAACTTTATGATCAATAAAATTGTCCATTTCTATTAATACTATTAATGGCACCAATCACAGCTCAATAGTTTTTGCTTACCTCTATGTTATTATATGTTGTTTCTTTGGTTCACTCTAACCCCAAGACATGAATGGGAGACTTGAAATTCAAGCCTCTTTTATACGGTCCGTCCAATTTGCCTCCTGTAGTTTGAATAAAAATATATGTGCATGGTAATGTTACTTGGACATGGTTTGAGCATGTTATATTGTTTTCCTTGTATTATTTTTTGTTTATGTGATGCTTATTTATGTAATGCCATGGGACTGTAATTTCCCATTCTCTCTTTGAGCTTTTAAGATTATGGAGTTTGATGTTGCATTAATATTTTTGAGAAGAATAACCTTTGAACACATATGACTTTAGTACTTTGAGATTAATGATATAATATCATGCTCAAATAATGCATTATAAGCTTTTCAAATAATCCATTTAGCTAATTATAATAATGCATTAGAAGTCTTTCAAATAATCTATTTAGTTACTTATATGACTTTTCACCTATAGTCATGACTAATGGCTAATAATCACATTCATTATAGTGATGGTTAATCTCAACTTTTTTAACATGACTTTGATACACTTTGAGATCAGTGATATCATTTCATGCTCACCAGGTTATCGGTTCTAATTAGAGGCCTAATTTAGTGAATATTGTATGACCAAGTTATTGTACATTACATGTGGTGTCATTTTATATATATGAACTTCAAAATTCTTTTTTAAAACGTAAAATAGTGTACTTTATGTTTGATCCATAATGTTTGAAACATGACTGAATCAAAATGTTTAACATCCACAGTGCTGTTTTTGGTTGAAACAAAGGTTCATGTGTTGAGAAAATTCCAAAAAGTTCAATAAATTCTGATTTGAAGATTTGTGATAAAGATCATGGTCATAGAAGAGTTCTCTTTGGTTATAAATATGTAATGCTCTTGGTCATTATTGTTATCTTCATCACCGCGGTTTTGATGTGTAGAAGCTTCAGGATTCAAAGGGCAAACAAGTTACAAAAATGTCAAAAGGAAGCAAGTAAAAAAAATGGAAACTAGCATCTTTTCACAAGTGGATATTGATGCTGATGAAATAAGTCATTTGGACGAAGATAATTTAATCGGCCATGGTGGTAACAGAAAGGTTTATCGAATCACGCTGAAGAAAAACAGGATGGTAGTGGTTGTGAAGCAATTAGAGAAAGGTGATGGTTGAGGATTTCAGCTGCTAGATGAAGATTATGTGACAAAAATTGCTGATTTTGGTGTTGCTGAAATATCTCAGACGGGTTTTACCTTTTTTGCTGGTACACATGGTTATATTTCTCGAGGTATGAAATTGTAATATAGGTTAGGACTAAAGAATTAATGGTATCTCACTGTTATCCATTACTTTCCTGGATTTAATACTGAATTACATATAATCATGCAAAAATACAAAAATACATGCAAAAATGCAAAAAAAACAAAAAACGCAATGTTGTGCTGGATTAAGTAAATATTTTCCTTTATTACTCAATTGCTTATTAGAATAAGAAATTAAGGATTGGTGACTTGTTTCTTGTAACGACAAGATAGACATGACATTCTTATATGAAATTGTAATATGCAACGCCTAGTTTGAGGCAAAAAAATGCTTTAATTTTGAAGCATCCAATTTGCTAGGAGTATATCTAGATTAGAATAAAAAAAATAATGGTATCTTCCTGATAACCCTAATGTCCATTACTTTCTTGTTTAAATGCCGAAGGAATGCTAAGTACGAGGAAGCATTAGAGTGATTTGAGTCAGTTTTGGGAACAAAGCTATAGCCCGATGAAGCAGCAGTGGTAAGTTATAATGTTGCTTGTTGTTACTCTTAAGCTAAACCAGGTAGGTATATATGTTTTTTCACTTTACAAATTGTATGTGCTACATTCCACTACTTTGTCATTGGTTTTGGATATTAACTTTTTGAGTGTCCAGTTATCCCTCTATATATGTAGATTAAATCCCCCAACCACATTTTTCAATGATTAGTGTTATGACATGTCAAAAGTAGTTGGGGAGTACCGAGTACAAAGCAAGCCATTTAACAAACCTTTACAACCACATCTTTTCAATGATTAGTTTTATAACATGTTCCATCTTAATATTATATATCCTATACAAATTTATATCCATTAAGTCCCACATTGGCTAGAACATCACACAAAAAAGTGTTCATAAATGTTTGACATGCTTGTTAGTTCGCCGAGCTGAGTAGCGCTAGCTTGTGACCCATGTGGGGGCACCAAGGTGATGGAACATGGCTAAGGCTTAACAAGTTGGTCTAGTGGTTGCACTATGCTGGCCTGCCCGCTCCAAGTTACGAGTTGAGTCCACATGACTTATGCGAAGGCACGGGGGGTCTTGTGAGTCTTAGACAGAAGGGTATAGTGTGAGGAACACCTGGTGAGCCTCTGAACCATCTCTTTTTGACTCATAACATTTTGGGTGCCATGCCCTTACAAAGTTATGAATGCTTTAGCTTAAATCTCTGATTTACAAACACCATGGGTCCTTGCAGTTTGGCATAGTCCAAAAAGGAAAAGCAAATAATACTCAACCTCTATTAAAAATTTCAGATTAACTCTCGTTACTACAAACTTGCTATTATATTAGAATACAAGTTGAAGATCACACTCTCATTTCCTTCCTCTTAATTTTAAATATTTTCACTTAGTGATTAAACATCAAGACATAACTCACATTTGACAGCAGAAACTACTTTGTAAATTAGCTTGTTGGCTTATAATATTTTCTATACTTGTGCTCCTAATTGGTAGTTTGGTTGAATTGAAAACTGTTTTTATGTTCATGTGTTTATCGTTTATCCAAACAAAATCATTTCTAACAATCTCTAGAGGCTGATTTTTTTTTGCAACTTTTTATGTCTAAAATTTTGAAAATGACTTTGATACACTTTGAGGTTGTTTGGTCAAGTTATTTTTTTTGTGTACATTTAGTATATATGAACTTCAAAATCCTATTTTGAAAAGTAAAACCGTGTACTTTTGTTTGATCCATAATGATTAAGTCAAAATGTTCAACATCAACAATGTACACCATATTTTGGGACTGAATCAAAATGCTTGAGATATGATAAAAATTCCCGATGCAAAACTGTCATAGGAAAAAAGAATTGAGGGAAAATGATTTGAGAGAAGGTATTATGCAAGTAAAACTACAAGACTCAAAAAATTGTTTTTTTCTTGAATTGTTATTTCACATATGCCATTATTGTACATTTTTATGAAATTTAGTTTGCAATTGAAAGATATAACCATGCATACCTACAAAAATCATAGTGCTGGATTTGGTTAATGATTTCTTCTATTACTTAATTGTTTATTAAAATAAGGATTAAAGGATTGGTGTCTTTGTCCTAGTAAAGACAATATAGGCATGGCAAAAACAAAACATTTTCCATAAGAAATTACAATCTGCAACACCTAGTTTGGGAGGAAAAATGCTTCAATTTTGAAGCATCAAATTCGCTAGGTGTATACATATTTATATTAAGACTAAAACTATTGATGGCAAGTTATAATCTGCTACACCTAGTTTGAGAGAAAAAATTGATCTCACCGTCCATTACCTTTAGGAAGCATTAGAGTAATTTGAGTTTGTTTGAGGAACAAAATCAGAGCCTGATGAAGCAGCAGTGGCAAGTTATAATTTTGCTTGTTACTCTAAGCTAAACCACATCCGTTGGATAATAATCATTCCATTAGTTTTACATTGTCTTTTAAAGGACTCAATCAAAATGTTAGACTAAGTGGTGTTTCCATATGTCAAACAACTGGTCCAAAATTTGCACAGAAACAAACTTTATTGGCCAACCTATTGAGATTCCAACACTATTATTATTATTATTATAAAAAATATAAAAAACCATAAAAGTTATGATGTAAAAAGTATTTGAAGATTGGAATAAGAGGGGGCCACGCGATCAACCATGGTCCTTCATGATCAACCATTGACCCCATCCAGGTAAGTAAGTTGCAATGATGGTATTCAAGTTATTTTATACTCTTGCTTCTCTCAATACCTTTCACCTTCTTTCGATGTGTGACTCAACTACCTGTAGGCAAAGTATTTCCCAACTTGTGTAAGATTGATCGAAAAAGGGGTGCAAGTGGCTAGTGATTGTCAGTGGTCTAACTTGGAGTTGGAGACAGCAGAGTAGGTGCTGCTGCAGTGTAATAAGAGCATTTAGACTGCTACTAGGTAGGAACATTGGAGAGAAAATATTTCACATATTAAATGCACTATCAAAGGAGAAAAGGAGTATCTTTGCTATGATATTATGGAGTTTATGGAAGAGTAGGAATTAATCAACTACCAGTAAGAAATGTATTTCCTAGGCCTTTGATAGATCTTGAGGACATCTTCCCCGACATTACATCTATTGCCCAATCGCTTTTTATATCCACTACTTTGTTATATGTTGGATACTAATATAGTCTGCTTCTAATCATTCCTTTCAAGTTTGACATTGTCCTTCAAAGAGCTCAATCAAAATGAATAGAGTAACTTGCTTTTATTCATTCCTTTTAAGTTTGACATTATGCTTCCAAAAACTCAATCAAAAAGATCAGAAAGGTATGAGTTGAAAATACTCTAGAGTCCATGGTACCTACAGATCAATATACCCTATGGATTATTCGAAAACTCGAAGAAATTAAAGATTGGATCTGACTAGCAAGGAGGATATGTATCCTTGATGATCACCTAAATTAGGGAAGGATTAAAGATCAAGAAATACTGCCTAATTCCTTTATTAGTTATTACTTGAAATGCAGAAGGTAGGATTCAGCTTTTCTTTCTAATTTTTATTTGTTAGCTTGTATAACATTATAAGTAGTATATAACATTCCTATTCCTTTATGTCTCCATTAGGAAGTGGTTCATTTTGACTGAGTATTATAACAAAATATAGCAAACAGTTTTATCATTTCATTTATGCTATTAATTCAGATCCATAAAAATTGAGTATCTTCCTCTCTTCAATTCCTTTTTCTTGTGTGAATTTGTTTGATATAGTTTCTCTCATTTTCTTTGTTCCAGTGGAATCTTGTGTTGACATACTGTTTCAGATCGAGTTTACGACTATCTCTTTGACATGATTCTTGTTCAAGTTTTTTTCCAAATTATAGGGTTTTATAGTCAGATCCCAATTTCTTGATTGGAAGCAAAATTATCAGTTGCAATGTCATATATTTTTGAGGGTATGTTTAATTTGTAGTTTGAGATAATGCAAATATAGTTTTCTTAAGTAAAAAATTCCTAGTTGTGAACAAAACAAATAAATAAGAAAACATATATGCATAAAAACATGATGAAAAAATAAAAAATAATATAACATTTAAGAAAATATTGTGGATCTAGTAAGAAGGACATAGAATTTGAACTAGGTTTGATGGGATGTGCCAGACTATTGCAACAGTGCAACACAAATTTAATATCGTGTGGACCATTGGTCCACATATCAGATATTAAACTGATAAGAACAGATACTACACTTGATCTTAGCCAAAAAGCCGAGAAAAGTATGAATTTAAAGTCATGCTTGTTGTCTTTTTTATATCGGACATGTTTTTTCTTCTTTGATAACTCACCGATGTGGGACTTTAATACTATACCTTGGAGTTTGCTCAATACTTTTGTAATTTTCTCTTTATGTAACAGTAATTAAACCAAGAGGAACACTGTCTGGTTCATATACATTTTCTGTTTGAAGTGATTTTGTTCATGCAAAGAAGTGGATATCATTTTCTGCAACAACAAAATTAAATAGGTAACAGTTCTTGTCGTCTTTTTTGGTTTAATTAATAATTTTGAAATATAACATTTGTTAGAGCAAGACTGAATCTAGAGTTTCCTGAAATGCCTCAAAACTAAAGCAGTAAAATCCCGGCAAAAGTTGAACTATTTCCCTAATTAAGTTCAATTTAACAAAAACCAAGTCCTAAGTCCTTAAATAAGTGGCGATCGAAAATTATTAGGCTTTTTTCTCAAATCAATGCACATGGTTTAGTGAAGATAGTTTTGACATTTGTGCATATGATTATGTATAACGTTGTATATATACTCATCTTCTTTTATATATATATATATATATATATATATATATATATATATATATATATATATATATATATATATATATATATATATATATATATATATATATATATATATATATATAGGCTACGGTGTTTGACAATTTGATTTGGTGAAGCTTGTTTTGTTGTCTGTTTTTGCTTTATGATATGATTGTTAGAAATTGGAGTCAATCGGAGGGTATGACTAGCCATATTTCAATTCCTCTTTGATGTAATTTAAAGTTGTGTTTATAACAGACAAATTTGTTCATTTGGCGTTGCTTATGCCTTGTTTTAATTAATTCATTTTTGGCCTTTCAAAAAAATTTGTCTTAAGCGTAAATCAATAAAACAAACTATTAATTATTTGTAAAATACATTCTTAATTAATTAATACTTTATAAAAAGAAATTACGTATAACAAGATTATAATAAATATATTTTCTTCATCCGCTCTAACCTGAATAGTAAAAGACAAGTGTATATCATTTAGTATAAATATATGTGTGAGAAGGTTGGAACATTAAGAGTTTCATACAATTTGAAAGGAATTTGATCCTTTGGTTAGATGGAGAGATTAATGGTGAAAGAATTAAAAAAATTGAAATACTTGTTTCATACATTTCTATTGCGAATGACAATGATTATATCCA